TATAAAGTTTTGCTATTCATTTTACTAAGTTAGGTTTATTTGATTTAGTTTGAGTTATTTTAGTACTTCAACTCAAACTGAAAGAAAATGAGAAATTTTGCCTCGGCAACAAGCCAAAAAAATGTCAAGTAATTTGAAATAAATAAAAATAAAAAAATTCAAGTAATGACAATGTTTTTAATGGTTTTAGTTTTAGTTAACAAGAGTAACTTTGAAACACAAATGGAAACGATATCTTAAAGCTGAAATTAAAATGATGCATCTTTATGTGTCTTATATGAAACCAGTGTTATTTTAGTATCACTGATAAACAAAAAAGAAAAAGGTAATATTTTAAATAATATTTAAATTTTACTTTTTGTTTGCTTTTATACTGTAAGTTAACCATAATAACGGTTTAATAGTAATTGTCTGAAACACAAATACAAAATTTAAAGCTGAAAGTTTTTTGTTTTTTTCCATCCTGGACGAAGGGGAACTGAAGAAAACAATGAGATATATAAAAAGAAAGTTTGCCACAGGGACTAATTTTAAGGTGTCAGCTCCTGGTCACTATACAGTATGTTTAAACTGTATACAAAGCAACAGTGTGAATATGCAACAAAATCTCTCCTTGTGTGTTTGCAATAGAAAGAAAGCCATACGAGTGGAGTAACATGACAGTAGAGTTAAAAATGGCAGTTTTCTTATTTGGGTGAAATATCCCTTTAAGAAAAAGTGTAGGGATGCAGGTTTCCGGTTACTCTGAGCATAGAGCATCCCAAAGTCACCGCTGTTCACCTGATCTGACCGTGTTACTGCAGAGCAAAGCAGCCCGAATCACTGTGACAAAGAGGATGAGGGATTAAACCCAAGACACTGTTTAATAATGGAGTGGAAAAAAAAAAATCAGAATCCCAACAGAGCTGTCGCTTTAATCTATAGTGCTTTTGTGCATGCATCAAACTTTAAAGACGAGCTAAAATGAGAGTCGTTTGTAGTTTTTTGACACCGGTGAGTAATAAAAGGTGAGACTTGAGATGGCCTGTCCTGGTAACACCCACGCTCTGGCAAGTGAACAAAATTATCCAACGTTTTTAAACCGACTGGTTATACAATGTATGTATAAAGAACTTCTTGTAACCTTGCATGAAATTTCACACCAAGGAAATATAGTAAGCACAAAAATACTTCAGTATCTTTACAGTATCTCGGTGTCAGTAAGCAGAGCAGAGCCGCAGAGTGTGTGGCCTCCGTTGCCACGCAGCAGTGAAAACAGGATGCGGCGGGTCACGTGACGGGCTGCAACTCCTCCGCTGCTCTCATGACCCACAAGTCCAAAAAATGGACCACAGCGCCTGACCTTTGACCTGCACGTGTTAAAGGAGCCATGCTCTGCTCTTCTGTAGCATTGTAGTCCTTTTATAATGTTACTCAAGGTTTCTTGCACAAGAAACATTCACAATATAGTTCTGCATACTCATTTTCCACCAGAAGACTGAAGGGTAAACATGTGGTTTTTGCTTCTGTATCTTTAAGCTATTTATATTTTGAATGAGCTTTTATTTTTACATTTTCCTTTTTTTTTTTTTTTTCTTTTACCTTTTTTCAAATATTAAAAAATATTAGTAATAATAAATAAATAAATAATATTAATATTATTTTTTCAAATATTGAAAATATTTCATTTCAGTTTTAGCAATTTTAGTACTTCAACTAATGTTCAGCTAGTTGCCAAGAGACCTTTTCTAATTTTCATTTGTTTTTTTAGGTTTAAGTTTTTAATCTACAATTTTATTTCAGCTTTATTTAAACTAACAGAACCCATTTTAACCATTTTAGTTTTAGTGAACAATAACAACACTGCATCTTAAAGTCTTAAAGGAACAGTCCACCTAAAAAATGTTTTCAATTTTTTTTTCCCTTTGCTGGAGTCACACTATTGGTTCTTGTGGGTCATGTGACCGACCACAAAAGGACATGTAAAAATTCAAACACAAATTAAATCTAAGAGCTATAACAGAGGGAAAGTTTGTGAATAATTGCTTAAGTTCCTCACACAAAGCTATCATATGACTCTTAATATACTCAAATACATGCTCCATTTTATTTTGCAGTGATGCCATTAAAGTGCTTTTCAGTTTTTTCTTGTGTGAAGAGCATTCTTCCACTATAAAGAAACTTTTGTTCAATGGAAAGGCTCCATAAATGTTGAAGGTTCTTCAGAGAAATGAAAATGACAATAAAAAAACATTTTTTTTTCTGTTTAATAGTAGTTTTACAGTAATCACCTCTTTTTATTGTACAGAACACGGAAGCTTTCTGCCTAAAATCTTCTTTGGATTTGCATAAAGATGACAATGTGTTTGGAACTACATGAAATTGAGTACTAGGCTAATTCACACTGCACCATCAGACAAGCCAGTTGTCAGATTACAGCATGTCACTTCTCAAGACATTTTAAGACCCAGCAAATGGAAATTAAATATGTTCAATCGCCAAAAACAAACACGGAGCAACGTTAACAAATGAAGAGAGAGGAAACACACCAATGACTGTGTCTGTTGGCCGATGTCTGTCAGTGCGGTGTGGACGGCCTACAGAACAAGGACATTCTGAACAGATGCACAATGCAGGTGTCTTTCAAAAACTGGGGTAACAGTGGAGGCCGGCAAACATGGGGAACGACATTCCTGCGGCATCTCGTCTTTCTGAACGGTTAATATGACACTCGCTGCATGCTGAAGCACACAATAAGAGGCACGGCAGAGTCATTACCTTTAGACACACTGCACTCCCGCAGGTGCCAAATCTCACCTTCAGTGTAGCAGCAGATGGTGGGTGGAACTGTGGGATTGTGGTGATTGTGCTCCGCCTGATACACCTGCTGACATTTGAGGGTAAATCAGCACCTGACCGGAGGCCAGGTGTGCGTGAGGTACGGCGTGTTCTCAGGAGGGACATGCCATAGTAATCGACTAGTCGAATAGGCTACTTGCTTTGTAACTAACACCTCAGATTGACTGATTACGCTTGACCTGCAATGACCTTAAAAATGCGGACAATATGGACTGGCTAAAGCCTTGGGACCAGCGTGATAAACGCTTGGGACAGTTGATGGCTTCGTCACTGGCCTGATCGGTCACACTGCAAAGTTATCATTTGCACGTGTTTCTACGTCATGCCAGTTTCAACAATCAAACAATTGTAAACCATTTAGGTACAAGACAACACGAAAGAGAACTAAATCCGGTATTTTCGTGTCTTATCTTTTCTTTTGTCTGAAAACCACCGACAACACGCAAATAGTTCTCCTTCATGTGTTCTTACGCTTGAACAGACAAATATACACAAAATGATGTCAAAATATCCGCCTTGGTGAGTATTCTCATAAACACAGTCGGTTTTGTCTTAACTCAATGTATACTTTTGAGAAAGAAAACATGTATCTAGTGTTAGGGGTAACACATTACAAGTAACCGGGTTACATAATCGGATTACTTTTTTTCAAGTAACTAGTATAGTAATGCATTACTTTTTACTTTACAAAAAATACTTTAAATAAACATAACATTTATATTTAATTTTTTTATTGCTGAAGAGTGTTGAACTTTCTTCTCCTGCATCCTATTCTTCATGCAATCCAGAATGGTTTGAGCTGTGCCCTCTACTATACAGACATGAATTTACATTTACGCAAAAGTAACGTAACTCATTACTTTCCATTAAAAGTAACTAAGTAACATAATTAGTTACCTTTTTTATGGAATAACACAATATTGTAATGCATTACTTTTAAAAATAACTTTCCCCAACATTGTGTGTATCAGTATATTAGATCTGTGCAGTAGGTCTTAAAGTGACAGCAGCCTTTGATCAAACAACAAAAAGACAATAAAAGAGAAAGAGAAAATCTCTCACTGCTATTGACTAAATAACATTTGTAACTTTTTAATAAGGATAATATACATTTAATTCATATTCATTGTGGTGATTCTACTGATTCAACTGTGAGTCTTATGTGTGCTTCACATGTGAAATGTGCTTTTTGTGATGCAGTTAGGATGCTGCCTTAGAAGACAGTAGAAAGCAAGGCAGCTCATGTTCATTAATTAACCATTGAATACTCAAACTGCATTACAGTTACAACTGCAGATGATTACAGCCTCTGATGATGTATAACAGTCTCTGAGTGATTTCTGCAATTCAGCTGTGGGTCAAAAACCAGACCCCATGTGTAAGTTGTGAAAGTGTCGGTTACCAGTCTGTGGTTAATGGTTTATTTAGTGCCAATAACTTCTTCATGCCAAATGCTAAAGTTAACTACAGTTTACAACTCTATACTGCTTTGAAAGTTCCCACACCTTTAGACCAATGAAGGATTTCAAAATAATTTGTATACAATATGAATATTAATTTAAAATATTAAGGGACAGCTTGCACACATTTAAGGGACATTTTGGCATTAAAAAAAATACTGTTAGGATTTGCTAAAGACATGCAGTGAAAAAATAGTATTGAAAAGATGTGAACAAAGTTATTTTTGTGGCTGATTTTATTGCATATGTAGGAGTTTCACCTTTAAAAGCAAAATGTATGAGAGGAGAGTATTTAAATAAATCATGCAGCGTGATTTACAAAGTTTTGCCATAGGCAGTTTACTGGTATTTGCACCATTACTTAACGACGAAAAGCATGACTTAACCCATTTTGTGATTGACATCCCTAGTAAAAAATAAATATACTAAAATGTATTTGAAATTAATTTATTTCATACTAAGTATACTACAAATACATTTACATATTTATGTACTTAATAAAAATACCCTGTAATTGTACTTTTAATATACTAAACTGGTATACTTAAAGTCTGCTGAATTGGAACAACTAATTTTGTGCTTAATGAATTTTAATTGTGCAGAAGTAGTGCTGAAGTCCCAACTAAAGATGAACTGAAGTATATTTGATTGTGCTAAAGTGGAACTATTGCAAGTATAATTTAGGTACACTTTAAATATCTTGCATTATTCAAAGATCAAACAATCCTCATCAGTATAGTGACATTAAAACATATTTTAGGCTTAATATTAAGAAATGTGCATTGTGCGCAAGAAGCACTCCAAATAAAGTTTAATTATAATTTTCATATCAGCAAGTCTCGAGCAATATATCAGTAAATATTTTAATAGATTTCAACTATACTTAGTATGAAATAAATGTATTTTAATTATATTACTTTGCTACTAGGGGTGGCTGCAATAATTGTACTAATTTGTACTGCTCTTGGTTGATTATGTTGGTCATTATTGAAATAATCTGGCTGTAGATCAGTAGATCACTGGACCTTTTGAATTTCTTATTTTCACAGCGAAGGCCAACACCTATTGAGAATAATCAGTTGGTATCAGCTTACAGAAATCGCAAAAAAAAAAAATTCCTCAGTGACACAGCAAACACGCAAAAACCCAGAAGAATGATGGACCTATAAATGCTGTCAAGCTAACGTTTGCAAACACACCTGAACACACAGGCTTTGAAGCCAGAGGGTAGATTTTGAACATAGAGGGTGATAGTGCCTACCTGTGTGGACTTGTCTTTCATGCACGAGGGGCTGTGCAGGTGGGATTCACGTGGCCACTGCCCTATCAGGTAGGGCCCGGTGATAGCACCCAGAGAGGAAGTCCGTCTGATAGCACCTGTGCTCCGCACCTGTTGCGACTTTGACCTCTCAACTGCCATAAGGAACAAACAGAAAGAGAAACAGATGGGTGATGAGCAGATGGACTGGGGTGGTGGCAGCCCTAAAGTTATTTCCCCATAAAATACTGAAATGCATAAAATGCACACGTAAATACTATACATCTTCAAAATCAACTAGTGGGTTTCCTGAACTGTTTGTTGAAACCATGTCCATCTCAAAATGGTCTTGGATTAATTTGTTCATTGATCTCATTGCCATGCATCCTGGGATTGCCTTTGGCAAAAAGGATAACCGCTGATTCTACCTTAAAATTTCTATACTATAAAAGTATACTAAAAGGGATACTGTTGTTAAAAAAAACGAAAAAAGGAGAAGAAAAGTGCATTTAATTGTATTGATATGCCCTTGTAGCATACTTCAAATCTTAAAAATATATCTATAACAAACTGTACTTTCAGGTTATATAATATCAATGAAATACTTTCATGTAGACATTTAAAAATAATAATGTCAAATTAAAAGTTTTACTTTGAAGCACATTTTAAATCATGATTTAATAATCTTCTTATTATGCTTTAAAGAAGTACACTTATTGTTGTGTTGACTACCATGTTAAAGCACATGTAAAGTGCTAAACATTATCATTTTAACTCGTGTTCATTTTTACACACTGGTACATAATATCTAGAGCTGTAATATTTCTGTAACTACACACATATAACAACCCTCCGAATGGTTTGTGTAAGTACAAATGTGTAACAGGACATATATAACTACATTTTGTAACAACTGGAAGTAATTGGAACAATTTGATCCAGGGGGTGGAGATGGGTAGGTTTAGGGGTGGAAATGGGTAGGTTTAGGGATATGTAAAGTGGGAGGAGTTGGATCTTGAGTTGGTGCACCACTGTAATACCAGTGTACGTACATGGTAACTCCTCAGGAGCTGTCCACTTAATATAAAGTGTAACATTCTGGACAACAACCACAATTTATATGTAAAGCCTAACTTACTGGCCGGTGCAGTGTAACATCAGAGTAATTACATGGCAAATCCATAGGAATTGTTTACTTAATATAAAGTGTAACACTTTCTTTACCAAAAAGTGCTGTTAGTCCTGTTACAGATTTGTACTTTCATTAACAAAAAGTGTTGTTACCAATGTCCTGTTACCCATTTGTATTTACACATACCATTCAGTGGGTTGTTACATATGTGTAGTTACACAAACATTACAGCTGTAGATACTATGTACCAATATGTACTTACACTGTGGTTACATACTATGTACACATCTAGTTACTATGTAAGTACACAGGTATTAGGGCCACTTAATATAAAGTGGGACCAATTTCTACAAGTATAAATTTACATAATACATTTTCATTTAATTGCAATTAACATGCAATTAAGAGTCTAAAAGCATTCAGTCTGCACTCAAGAATATTCTTTTAAAGTTTTTTTTTTCTTTTTCTGTAATAACTTCTCTATTTTTTAGGAATGTATCAGGTTTTTGTCCATAAAATAAAAGTAATTGGGATTCAATGTAGTTTAGGACACCAAGTTTCATTTTATGGGCAAAAACTAGAGGTCGATAGTGGATTTTTGCGATAGCGATCGTTAGGTTGGACCACACTGGCCAATACCGATTAATCAACAGATAGTTTTTAAAATGGATACTGAACAGAAACTAAAATAGTGCTCTACTATTTAAAAAAAGTATTGAACCATACTTTGTAAATCAATAAAAATATTAATATTAAATATAGCTGCAAGCAGCGATTACCGGGGTTCAAGCACTTGAAGGCCTTCATGGCTTCTATGCTGTCAGGGGTCTCCGCCAAAGTGAAATGTATGGCTGACACCAGAACACATCCATGATTGAGAATATGATGATGACACACACAGAGTAATGAAAAGGTTGAACTGTATTACTTAACACATATTTTATTACTCAATACAGACTAAGCATGCTCACACACACACAGACACACATTATGTTGTAGATATAGATATTTGAAATAACTTACATGTTATAAAATGCTTACTGGAAGTGTCCCGTTTATAATATTCTTTCAGGTTTAAATTGAATCATAATGTGGCATAATTGTCCAAACTGATAGGTCTGTTTAAATGAAGTGGTAAACTTTGACTAAATGTGATTTTAAATGTAATAATAATGATTTTAAACTATCTGAATGTCAGTACATAATAAAACCTGAGAAAAGAACTATGCAAGTGATAGAATGAGCCAATGAGTGATCCTTTGTTGCCATCTAGTGGTTGTATTTGCACTTTCAGGGAATACAGCATAGACATGTACTGTTTTTAACCTTCATAACTATTACAGTAGACAGGTTTCCATCCAAGGATTTTTTGCGTAAAAAATATTTAGCGCTTCAAAATTTTACCGATATAGCTGAAGGAAATGCCATTTATCGATAAAATTTGTCATGTGTTGACACAATCGTTTTCCGTTTAACTTTAGCGCATAAATTCTATATCGATACTTCAAATGTCGCAAAAATCTGTTTGGAAACACTTTTTGTCGAGAAAAGGGGCTTTAATGCAAATAAATGGTGTCACATGACAGAATTAGCCTATAGCGTCCATGTTCATGGTGTTGCTCCCATTAAAGCACCGTTTCCTTGTAGTTCAAAAGCGCATTAAATCATATTCATATTATTAAATTGCATATAAAATTCTTTTTATATATGGTAAGCAAAAGACGAGTTGCCTCTCAAACATACTTATCTTAATTTGATGTTCCTTTAGTAGCCTACGTTTACGTTATTTTTTACAGTGCACCGCTCAGTTTAGCCTGTAGTCCATGCCGTTCAGCGTGACCACCATACCCCTGTGATATTATGCCAAGCACATTTTGTTTTACATGGATATTAGAACGCGAAGTACAAAATTTTGGATGAACTCATTTTGGCTTGTTAGTAGCTTCTTATATTTTTATTCTTGTTTTGTTCTGAGTTCTGTTCTACCTAGGGCTGTAGCTATCGATTATTTTAGTAATCGAGTATTCTACAGATTATCCAATTGATTAATCGAGAAATCGGATAAGAAGTAATTTTTCTTTATTAAAGAAAAATACTAAATATGCAAGAGATAATAAGATAGATCTCTTAAAATAAACAACTAATTTCTTTTCTTTTTAGAAAAATTAACATTTTTATTGCTGAAAAAGAATAACCGTGAAAACTAAACCCATTTAATGTATTTAATTGCCAAATTGCATTCAAAATGCAAATACAAATATATCAATAAAAAATAAAAATAAATAAATAAAAATACAAAAATCAATTTCACATTACTTTAAAAAAGGTAAACAGTACAAACTAAAACTAAGGCATAAATCAAAATAATAGTAATAAAAATAATAATAATACCTAAACATTGCATTTATGTCGTGCAACTTAACTTTCAAGTTTCAGCCTAACTAAAGCTCAAGCATGACATAAGCCTTTACTGTCTTCTTGGAAGGCTTTGTGGCTTTTGTGAGAGGCAAAAATCAGTGGACAGGAAGGTAACTTGGAACAAGAACAAGAGACCATACACAATTTTTAAACACATTTTTATGCAACATGAAATTAGAGTTATTTGGAGAATAAACCCTCTTAAATGTCCCTTTACGTACTGGTGTGAGTGTGTGTGTGTGTGTAAAACTTGTTTTTGATATCCTTCATATTCTGTGTGCGGGTCAGCTCACAGCAGTGATAGAAATTAATCTGTTCCAATAAGTTTAAATTTATTTTTATATTTTATGGTCATTTTTACATTTATAAAGCCTTATTTTCTAAAAGTGTGCATCATCTTTTGAGTCAAATTCTTACATTTAATCAGTCAATTAGAATAAAAGACATATTATATTACAATATTATATATTATAATTATATATTATAAATATTACATTTGGGCTGTTACCAAACAAATTATATCTGTATCAAAATTCATCTTTGCAATGCAGAAGAAACACAGAAGCTGCATGGGATGAATTTCCCACACAGAGGGACATGAATGCATTTAACCTGCAGTTACAAATGCATAAATAATATTTAAACCGCCAGTAGGTGGCAGCAAGTCACTGTTAATAAGTGAGTCATTGCGATTGAACCGAATCATTTAAACGGTTCATTCATTCAGCGCTGTGGCTGTGTTTGGAATTTTTTTGTTGGAAAAATCAAACAAAAACAGGCAATATAGTGTCTAAAACGTAAGTCTCATAATATTACCTTCTTGTTTATTGAACTGTTGAATAAAATCCCATTTGTAATCATGCTGATTTTAGAGGTGAAAACTGGCACACTTCGTATGGTATTGACTAACTTTCTTTCTGTGGTATTGTTATGGACAATGGCGTTTAGTCTTTCACAAAACATAGCTAACATAGGGACATTATAACTAGCCACCATATTGATTTACGGTTTTAAATATGTCAAGCGCTTTTTTTTTTTTAAGTCTGGTCCCTGTTTTTATACAGTCTATGGTCTGGTCCAGCGTTTATCGGTTTGTGCGTCGGTAATAATGGTCCGTGGGGAAACAGTAAAGTGTAGTTACAGTAAATGGACTAAACGAAGCCTCGAGGCAAATAATTTGCCTCAATGATTTTTTGTATTCGACTTACTCGAGGTATTCGAGGAATCGTTTCAGCCCTAGTTCTACCGTTAAATTTAAAGGATTTGTTGTAGAGTGCTGCACTGTCGAGTTAGTAATGCTTAACTGCGCGTGTGAGGCGCCGGTGTCCGATCACTTGTTTTTTTTGTTTTTTTTTCCTCAAAAGTGGAAACAAATTACAATATGCCTTCATTTGTGGTCATATGTGTCACGGTGCTACGGTGTTGGAGCGCGGAACGAGGAGACGAGGAGTACATCAATAAGGAGATTTTAATGACTTCAAGGGAACCAGGAAAACACACGTAGCTGAGAAGGTTGACACATACAATACCAGATGAAGAACTAAGAACCGGGAACACTTTAAATACACAAGACATGACGAGAAACACCTGGAACTAATGAAACATAATAACATGAGGGAAAACACAGCTGGAAACAAATGGGAAACAATCAGGGAGCAGGAACAGGAAAACCAAATAAGGGCATGGAAACACAAAACACGGAACAGAGTCTGACAATATGAGAGTAAGACATTATTCAAAACTATTCTAAATATCCTTTTATTTGTGTACATTCACAATAAAAACAAAACATTGTGATTTTGTAAAATAAAGGAAACAAACAGGATGCCGCTTTCTCAAGAGCGCATCACAAAAATAAGCCGAAATTCTGCATTTAGGCTGCTTATTGTTGCACAGTTTTTCTTTATTTCGTTTTGTTAATTTATTATTGAGAAAAATATATTTCGCATATAGGCCTATTTATTTATTTTATATATAGCTTTATTATGTTTTTCTCTGTTCACAGAAGTGCTGCAGGTGCGTGACCATGTGAATCCTCACGTTCTGTTGTTTATGCTGCTTTTTGTGTGTATAAAATTAATCCCTGGAAAACAAATTTAGGTATTTTTAATGGGTCACAGCCACGTATCAATTCAAATTTAATTTAATTGTAATTTAACAATCTTGTCGGTTAATAATGGCTTAACGACCATCGGTTGTCGGTTAGGGGAAATAAAATAACCGAAATGAACATTTCCTAATAAAAGTTAATCAGAAAAATAATGATAGGCTAATACAACTGCACCTGTTTATGAATATTGCTTGATGATCAAGTATCTAACTAGTCTATAACAAAGTACAAAAAAAATACATGACACTTGTTAAAAATAATTTTATGCATTATGCAATTATGCATTATGCAATTTAATAATAGGCTATATAATAAAGTTTTGTTTCAAATGGATGAAGAACAGGCTACAATCCTATATAATTACGCAATAGGTGAAATTATGTATGGAAACAGCTCAAGGGCAATTTTTTTTTTGCGATACACCAAAACTTAAGTGACAATTCGTTTTTTTTAGGGATGACATCATCACGCACAACATTTTATCGGTAAGAGGCCAGTTGGATGGAAATATGCTGTAGACAGCAAATTTCGCAAGTTTTTTTTACGCATATTCTCTGTCGACAACAAAACAGAGCAAAAACTGGATAGAAACTTGGCTAGTGTCAGTTTCTGTCCAATCTCCATAAAATTTTGCATGATTGTTTAGAATCATATAATGCATGAGTTTACATAGTTGTGAGATGTTTGGAGTTTTCTTTTAAGATTTATAAGCACTTAGGTACACTATATAAGGAACACATTTTTAAATCACCATGTTAAAATGGTCCAAATGCCAATGTTCAACTTTTTTTTTTTGATAATTGTTGATCTAGAGAGTCCAGAGAATTGTACTGCAGTGGTTTTATTGAGTTTGAGTTAAAAACCTAGGACTAGTTCACAAAAGTAGGTTTTTTAAATAATATAAAATATTTAAAGAACAGTTGAATTGATAGCAGTGGTCCTAGAGGCAAAGTTGTTCAAAATGAGGACACCTATCATATGATATGAAGATCTAGTGTTTGTGTGAATATATGAGCATTTTTTAAAAATGCTTTTTTCAATTTGAGGCCATTTACTATAGAAATATTGTGTTTTTGAAGCCTTTTTAACTGTTATAGCGCCACCTATGGTCCGATCTCCATGAAACTTTGCATGCTTGTTAAGAGTCATTTGTCACATGTTTTTACCAAGTTTCATAAAGTTTTGAGTTTTCGTTTAGGTTTTATATTTAAATAGGGTATAGGGTATATATACCAAATATATATAGGGTATATATACCATATTTGGCCACGCCCCTTTTCTAAATGACCCTTTTAAAGCTAACCAAAGGACAAAATTCAAAGT